TTCACCAGCACAACCTATCGCAGCGGGAGTCACGTCACCATAACCCTCCCACCCAATCCCCCCCCTTTTCGTTGTAACCTCTGCCCCCAAGACCTCTAGTGCGACATTCCCAGCCCTCACTTTTCATTTAGTCTGACGATGAACACGTGATACTTGTTCGAAAATTCACGAGTACAAACTCGATTTTCCGAAGATCTTCTTTTTTTTCATAAGTAGGTATGCCATATAGAAATTTATAAATTAGATGGGACAAAATATCTGCCCGTCACCAGGCAGTAAATGGCACTATAGGTACGAACTGAATCATAGACTGACCCTGATTCTGGTGCAGTGATCTAGACGAGTACAGTGAAGTCAGCTTTTCTCGATACTCCTCCAAAGTAGTCATGGTAGGCGTTAGCAGTACAATTTGGTCTTTACCGCCAAAATGCCGTTTTAGCAGAGGTTCCTCGTCGGGTGTCGAAGAAGGTGCCTCGGAGTCAGCTGCAGATGCGGTGGAGAGTCCCGTCATAATTGAAAGCAGCAACTGACAGTGTTCTGTGGGGTCCTCGGGGATGGCTGCATACTTTTCCGAGAACTTGTATTCATAGAAACCTGTAGTGCAGTGTAAAAATTAGAGCAGCTTAGAGGCAACTCCCGTCAAGGGGTTACTTTATGTTTTTCTGTGTGCTAATGTCAGCCCAACTACGAGGGAATACGTTTTTGAACAGCTTGCATTCCAAAAAATATTAATGAAGTTTTTTGCTCATAGCATAAACGATCGAATCCAGATAAGGAAGCTCCCGTGTAGAATGCATCAGTTAAGCTACCTACACTAATGTTTGTGTTCCATATGTATCCCACCATGATTACTTAAAACGTTCAAAATATATTAATTTTGCCTGGAAAAGTAAGTTTTTCCTGCACAATTGTCAACCACCAGCCCTGAAGCCAGGTGTTTTCAATATAAAACTTCGTGATCTGTTTAAAACCAAACAATATTGTCATGCAGAGATGCCCAACATTTAACGACAGCCGACGAATTGTTGATACTGTATATACTAAGTGGCAAAACAGTGAAGGCGTTCAAATCTAACGCTACCATATGTATCCAAATTTCCATAGAGTACAGAATGTCCGATGTAATGTATCCTCCCACATACGAGTTTATTTAAAATGTTAAAATTCGGGAAAATATACGAACGATTGCAAACAGCCGCTACCATCCTATAATCGAGGGCCAATAATTTTCATTTGCACTGTCAGCCTTTTGATACATAAATGGTGCGACAACAAGTCGCGTTGCAAATACCTTGTATGAAGAATCCCGCAAATCCTATTTAACAGGGCTGAAGTACCGTATACAGCTGACGATAGAGAATAATTTATCCTGAAGAGCCAGCGTAATGCTGCCAGCGAACTAAAATATTTATTCTGGGTCCTTTATGTTCTAGGCATCTTCATTAAGCCACCATAATTGTAGCTTCTGAAAGTTAGAAACCACATGCTTAAATCCCTCTGCCACCGAGGAGAGTCTAAACTGACTATATGACCCACAACATTCCCGAAATGGCTCCCAAGAACGTCACTTAGGGCGAATGCCAACCTTAACTATGTTAGAGATTTACTCTTTTCGGTATAAGAGAAAGACAGGAAATATCAACTTCAGAGTTTTTCTTAAAAATACAGTGGAGGTACAAATGTGGTTCCATAGTCGTGTTATGCGTCAATAAAATATTCTGGAAAAGAAGAGTCGCCCTATTTTACAGTTATGTGATGAGACAGCCATGGGGCTTACAGAAAATGATAAAACTAAAACTTTAAATAGATGAGAACACTCCTCCACAACCTAAACCATTTGCACTTTGTAGTCCTTAAAAGTATTAATTAAATCATTAAGTCGGTGAAATGACTTTGCGTTTTTCAAACAGAAAGATACAGCTGAAGGGTGAGGAGTGGTTAGACGAAACTCCAATCATGATTAAGACGACATTACTGCGTCAGGGCGCAATAGTCTACGATAACACAAAAAACAATCAACGCCAAGGGAAGTACCTACTCTGTGAAAATTCTAGCCGACATCAAAACTACTAGTTCCCCCCGATGCCATCTTTGCATCAATCAGAAAGCAGTGCTGAAATAAGCGATACAAAATATGGTGCAGCTTACTCTTATAACTTTGCTTGAGAGCTCCTAGCACCTTTGGAGCAATAAGGTCATAGGCCAGGTGCATCGGCAAATTGGTTAAAGTAGTGTCGTTTAAAGTGGTACTTGATGTGGTTGTTGGCCGTTGCGTTAGTCGACAGCAACGCTGCATGCTAGTCCACAGGAGTCGTGAAAGTACATTTGTCTCGCTGTTACCCACTGAAGCAGGTCCACCGGGGGTCGCTACCTCTGACAGTGTCTGTAAAAGGTGGAATTCAGACGCAAAATAAGATTTTATATTGATCTGGTCGATCGATGAGGAAAAACTTGCTTATGTACAAAGTACACTGGCAGAAGAGTAGACAGAGGCGTTTCGATCACAGGAATCATAGTTTTACTTGTGTGAGCTTTCGGGCAATCTTTGGAGTCCGCCGTCAGAGATAAAAGGCTTCAACGAAGGACAAGCAACAGTTACGGGAAGCAGTGGCAAATCAACCGTTATGGAGGGGAGGGGGTGAGGGGGGCAGTCACCTACCAGTGCCACCAGTCCGGAGATGCCTGCGCAGGCTGATGTATGCCGGCGCCAGATCGATAAACCGATTGACTGAGTTCTCATCCGAGGACTAGGCTTCAATCAATTCGGGGCCTCTCTTATTGCCGGCGTGCGCGATTACCCTCGAAACCGCGAAATTAAACTCGTGACCGGTCTCGTAGGTGTGGGCAGCCACTTGCGATAATGCGTCATCCCGTCGTACCACCAGCTTATGTTCGTGTATGCGCGGACCAAGCATATGTTCTCTCGACCTTGTGTAAATTCGGGCACAATTTAGATATGCTATGCGATACACTACGCCCGACTGCTCACTGGAATTTAAACGGTTCTTGATTTGCAGGTCCCGGCTACCCTATTTTACAGTTATGTGATGCTACAGCCATGGGGCTTACAGAAAATGTACTGGGTTATAGTACAAAGGGCATTGGCAGAAGAGTTACTAGTTCCTGCCAGTATGGTGTATATAGTAACTGCGATGTATAGATCGCTAGCTGTCTGTCGGGAGTTAAATAAATATTAAGTGGTCATCACGTTGTGGCTGATAGACTGCGGCTCACATATTCCTACTGACTGTCATTCTGCGTCTATATAATGTCTTCACACGAACGCGGAATTCAAAATTGAGTTTACAAGAAGCATTTTACTTTTTTTATTTTTTTCGCATGCATAAACACTTTATTTCCTTCTCACTTATCATGAGGCTCATTTTTTTAACGAAGCACCGTATAGGTAACGTTAATATACTTAAAGGCAGCATTTTCTCGTAAATTATCTGTCACCCTCATAAAAGTGAACTTCTAAAGGTTATCATTCTACTTAGAATTCAGCCAAAACGCCTGCCACCTTAACCGCAGAAAAGAAAGACGTGTTCATAAGACTGCCTTTC